GTATATCTATGCTAGTGAGCTAACCCTGGAGCTATGCTAAAACTCATCTGAAAGGGGGATTTTTCAACACTACTACATAATTAAATGGTTGAGATGTAAACACAATCATTCAGAGTCAGTATACCTTTAGTATTATATATATTGTCTATAAAACAACAAACCTTGATAAGTAATTAACCTTATTAATTACTTTGCTTGTTAATTCTCTTTTTGTTACTCTTTTCCTGAGTGCCTTGCTCTCCCTTTGCTGCTGTAGCACTGTGAATTGCCCCGCTGTGGGACTAATCAGGATGATCTTATCTTATTAGAAATTTAGTGCTTACAGAGACTTGATAAGCGGTGATTGGTTGAGTGTGATGCTCACTGTAAGTTCCACTGAGTTAACTTTAATACATGACTGCTGGTTTTAAATCAGTACTGTTGCTAAAGACAATGTAACATCACCGGTAAAACATTACTTTACACATGCAGCTGGACAGCAATACGCACCACACTGCTGCACCACGTACTGCTTTCACTGGGCCTGGCGCTGAGTGCCCCCTGCTGGCCATAACAAGAACTTCCAGCAGAAGAATAGTTAAAGGGACACTGCTAGAACTTTTTTTATGACATTGTGTAATATTTTGTTTCTCAACATTGCACCCCTCACCCTCTTTGGTTTGAAGGATTCATGGTTTTTGTGTTTTCATCCATCAGTGTTTTCTCACTACAACACCCAGCATGCATTATACTAAACACATTATCAAAAATCATATACATATATATATGTATATAGTATATATATATATATTATATATATAATATATATATATGGTAAACCATACCATATTATTAATGCTTATTAATGTCACCCCTCTCCTGTCTTCTGGAGCAGCAACAGCAGCCTGTGCAGACAGGCCTGGCAGCAAGCTGAACAAACCCCAAACTAAAGTTTTTTTTTCATAAAATCACCACATCAGATATAAGATTTTTTAGGCTCAAAATACTCACGACACCCTACACTGTAAAAAGTCTCGTCAGATCTCCTTTAAAAATTTACTTCATGTGGTGACAAGTAAATTAACTAGTTTTATTCAGCCTAAATAAATACTTTGAATGAATGATTCTTTTAATAAAAGTATTTTTTTGGGTTGAATAAAACTAGTTCAATTGCTTGTTACCACACAAAGTAACTTTTTAAGTAGATCTGACGAGACACTTTTTACAGTGTAGCAGTCTTAAAAATGTCCCAGTTTGGCTGTAATCTTTGAAGGGTGGGGTGATCAGTGATGTTTGGTAAGACTGGTTAGGCTCTCACTTCATGAATCCTCTCTGACATCTTGCATCATCATTAATCCTCCCACAGCGGTGAGGAAATTCACTGATTACGAGGTTTATAAATAGACATGATATTCAGCTTTCTAGGGGAAGAAAATCCAGCAGCCTGCCCTCATCCCTGCTGAAAAAGGACCATTAAAACTATTAGGATTAAAACCTAGTGGTTTTGCTTTCCAATAGGACTTGGCTTAATGCTTTCCCTTAGGAAACCGTCAAATGCATTTAGAATCAGTCACCTGTCACCTGTTACACCAATAGGATCCTTTACATAGTGATATCAACCCATTAAAAAAGCCAAAACACATTACAAAACCATCTGAAACCAACAGAAACACTTTGTGGTTTAACTTGGAAAAATTCTACTACAGTGAGACTACAGTGGCACCGCTGTAGGAGGCGAGTTGGCACATTTACAACAGATGTAGCAAATTTTTAAACGTTTTGGCCGGACTTGCTCTTTAAGCAAAAACGGCTAGTGATGCTAACAAATAATGAATGTAAATAGCCACCAAATAGCATTATGAAAATGGAATCATGCTAATTGGTGCCTACCTTCATGTGGTGACAAGTAAATTAACCATAGACATATATCACTGTTATCGGAAAAAAACCTTGTATCTCCAAAATGGTATCTTTACTGGAGAAGGAAAAACATACTTTACTTTTAATGTAAGTCAGTGGAACCAGACGTTTTTACAAGTATGTTTGGGCCGTTTCTTTTGGTCCATTCATCATGAAATTTACACACAATGTAAAGGGCAACAGGTATGTATGTATGTATCTACTAACTTCCATTCGGTGTTAGCCATGTTAGCATCAAGCTATTCCTTAAGGTCAGAGGTTCCATATTTGTATACTAGGCAAGGCAAGGCATGTTTACATATATAGCACCTTTCATACACTGCTGTCAATCAAAGTGCTTATATTTTGTTTCTCTCATATATATATTTGTATATTTAAGTATTACAAGGGGGCTACGCACCTAAGATTTTCACTCACCTTCCCACCTGTGTAAATGTGATGTGACAATAAATGTGACTTGATTTGATTTGATTTACAAATGAGAAAATACAGAGTCCGAAAATACAGAAGTAAATGAGAATAAATATTAAAAACATGATTAAAACAATAGATTTAAAAGAGAAAATCATTCAATTAAAATCAAATTAGATGTTAAACTAGGATAGTTAAAGAGATCAATTTAAATATTAAAAGATAGATTAGGATAAAGAAAGTGCCGACGGTGATACCATTTTTTTTATCTGATGCGAAATATTACTATTGTTGTCTAATATCCTGACACCAATGCCGATACTTTTAAAAGTCTTCTTTTGCACATAAAAGTGGGAATTCTTTGTGATTTCTACAGTGAAAACCAGCAGGTGTGGACATCAAAACTTATATTTGAACTCCTCTGCATTAGTATCAAATAAAGTATCACTGCTGGACGTGGATATCGAATGGCTTGCTCTGTTGGGAAAGACCACCAGGGATGCTGTAAATCCCCCACCCCCACAGCTGGCTGTGTCTATTGTGCACCTTCTCGTAACATTGACAAGAGAGATGTTACCACGGTATCCTGTCTCCTAGCAACATTGCAGCAGAGACAAGAGTCGGACCCCCGGGGACCAGAGCTCAACAAGGAGCCGCACTCACTCAGACAAACAGTCACAACAAATCTTAATGACACACAGAAGAAATACTGAAGGCTTCAGACTCAAGACTGCGTTCACTATTAATGCCCATAAATTATCATAATAATAATAATGAGACGATAATAGGATGACACTTTCATCTGTTGCTTTGGTAGTTAATAGTTAATTCTTAATCTGTGATTGTTTTAGTTCTACAAGAAATAAGGTGACTAAGTATCTCTTAGATTGGTTTGCATAGTTTTTTGACTCACAAAAATAGATTTTTGTATTTTGTTTTTGTTTGTGATTCATTCTAAGGCGGTCTTAACCATCTCTAATTCACATAACAGTTTGTGTGGGTTTTATTTGATTTCAATTGTCTCATTTGTACAGAATATAATTGCAGTTCAGCTTCCTTTGCTTTTCAGCTTTTCCACTCTTATTCCACTGATTAGCCATGTATGAAATGACCTGACCATGAAGGTCAGCTTTGGCCATATGATATAAAAGCACAGCAGGCAAATCACAAAGGTTGTCATGAAAAATTGATCTTATTTCATAAAGACAGTATCATAAATAAGACCGGATGCATTTTAAAGAACAAGGACAATGTAGTGCATTAGAGTAAATCACACACAAAAGCACAGAGGCATGACCTCAAATCAACACAACAGATTTTGATTCTGATTGTAATTTTTTATTTAAAAGACATCAGCCTCATAAATCATTTTATCAATTAGAAATAAAAGATTTTATAACTCCATGATTCAGTAGAAAGGATGTGCAATCAAAAAGAAATGAACAATACTAGAAGTATGAACTTGGGTGATAAGCGTACTATCAAAAAAGTGAAAAATGGTCGAAGCTTAAACCTACAATTTACTCCACATTGCTTAGTTTGACAGCAACTAAAACATTCATCTGTTATCACCTCATTAAAGGGAAATTCCACCAATTTTTCAAAATTTCTGAATAATTCAGTTTTCGGGGTGTAAACAGTCATTCAGAGTGGTTTGATGTGAAATGGTTCATTGTGGAGAACCTTAATGGCTTAGCTTTCTTTACAGTGGTGGTGATAGGAACTGGGGTCACAATGTCTACAGCGCAGATATAGCCATATTATTTACTGTCCAAAACCACCAGTGAATCTACAGGAGTCTTATGAGTTTTTATATGTAATGTCGATAAATAGTAAAACAGTCATATATCTGAAAAAATCGTTTTCTTTGCCTTACAATGCCCGTCATGTATCCTTCCACCATGGACCATGAATGCATTAAAATAAGTCTTTAAGCCAAAAACTTCATCAAAAACTCATAAAACAATGTCAAAGACATCAGGCAGTGAATTCATAACCATTTCATGTGATAACTTTCTATGAGGGAGCTTTTAGAGGTGGACGTCTGGCTCCTATCACCACCACTGTGAACAATTCTGACTTGGCAAGTTGCTCTAGAACGAAGCTTTTCATACCAAACCACTCTGAATGACTTTGTTTACATCTCAACCGTTAAATTATGAAGAACGTTTGAAAAATCGGTGGAGTTCCCCTTTACTGTGCTACTATTTGCCGCGAGGGGGCGCTACATCATTATTTTAAACCTCAGCGCTCCCATGTGCGCTCATTCTCACCAGGAGGGCTTCTCTCTCATTTTTTCTCGTTCATTTTCCAACTTTCAGCCGGGGCTCTGTGCTCTGTTTTGGAGACTATTGGAAGCTACAATATTAACTGATAACAAAACTGTAATAACTTTTACAACATTATGCTCAACGCATACTGCAAGGAAATGACTAGTCTAGTCGTATTAAGGCGACTAGACGTATTATAGCTTCGCACACTTTTAAAACCACCAGAAGTCCAGCTACCTTTATTTGCAGTCCTTAAAACGATGGTTCTTCAAGGGTTCCGCAGTAAAGACTGTGGTTCTATGAGGAACCATGAACACTCAAGGAACCGTTTGCATGCACTGCATGGTGAAATGGTTCTTCATGATGGAGAACCTTTTTGAGAATGGTTCTATATGGCACCAAAAAAGATTGTCAAACTTGTAACAATAGAAGAACCGCTTTTGGTGCTATATAGAACCATATAAAACACATTCTTCACCAATCTGAAGAACCATTTCACCATGCAAAAAACATTTAAGCACGAAATGGTTCCGTGTAGTGTTCATGGTTCTGAATAGAACCATTCCCTGTGCTACAGAACCCTTGAAGAACCATCCTTTTTTTAAGTGTGTACTTCTAGTAGACAATTGAATGATCTGACTGAAAACCACCGGAGACAGGTTAAAACCTATATTTAATATATAATGTATCTAATATTAATCTATATTAGTGACATTTTTAAAAACCCCAGCCTGAACTGGCTAAAGTGTGAATAAATGTTAACACCCCTGTTTCTCCCATGCGCTAAACGCAAAACTCGCTTTTCAACGAAAATTCAAACGTGCGTGTCGTGCATTCCCTTTAAATGGGAATAGTTCACTTCTAGCGGAGGTGATACGGGCGACAACAAAGACTCGAGGAGTATGCGTTATTCCATCGTTTGATGCAAATCTGCAGTTCAGACCGAGCTGAACTTCTTCAATAAGAGCTGCGAAGTAGATTTTGTATTTTAAAATGTCGGCGTTTTAATTCGGCGTAGTTTGTTTTGATTCGAATGCACCCCTCTCTTCGCGTGAAGATGGTATCGCCCGCCCCATCTGTTCTCCTCTTGTGAGATTGAAACAGATTGTAGTGGCGCAATGGCAACTAAACCAGGAGGACAGCAAGTTTTACTCTTCAGCTGAAGAAGTCATCTGTGGAAGAAGAAAGTGGATAGCGGCGTTAAAACGATATCTGATGTGAGGAAACGAAGTGAACGTAAAAACCTCCCTCCTTTTGTTTGAAAATGTCCCAGGGATGTACAGTTTCTGTGGAGGAGATCCAGTCTTGGTGGGAAGTCCCCGCCATAGCACACTTCTGCTCGCTCTTCAGGACGGCGTTCAACTTACCAGACTTCGAAATTGAGGTAACAAACGTTGAAGAATAGTTGTCTTTTTCACCTTTACCGGTTTCTATTCATTGAAGTTAGCTTCCTACCGGGCAGCTTCTTCTCAGGATTTTCCCGTTCCACCTTAAATGGGCGACTCAGGCGCCAGAATGTAACTGCTGCACCATTTAAGGTGGACCGGGAGAATTCGAACAAGAGGCTGACTTTCAGCGTGGTCAGTCACTAAGAGTTACTATAGTAACGTTAAACAAAAAGAGATATAAAGAAAAATCAACTTCTAGGAAATAAATCAGTTCGTAGATTTCATCGAAGAGCCACAAGTCAGAACTTAGTGACTCTTAACAACAACAACAGCCGTGCTCAGCTAGCCAGGTTAACGTTAGCGCAGCTAACTTAACCTAGCTAAACATTGTTTATTTGTTTATTTACTTATTTTTCCACCAGTTATCTTCTCAGTGTTCGTCTTATTTAGTATAGACGATGGTTGGCGACTTTTATTTGTGATGGTGGGGTTGCTGTGACTGATATTCCTACAACAAACACAACTAACAACCAGCTATGTTAACCTAGCTGGGTTAACGTTACACAGTTCACACAATCACAATTCAGAAAAGGAAGGTTTTATTCAAAGAGTTTGTTTTTTATTTAACTTTTTAACTCGACATTAAATGTGTCGACCATGCTCTTTAATGGATCCTAGAGGCAAAGGAGAGCGTAGGAGGTGTAGTTAACCTAGCGAAGTTGGTCCGTCTGAAGTCCTGATATGTGTAAATATTTTGCTGATTTGTAAGCTCGTAAAGTTTCGTCTGGGTCCACTTGTGCAGTGTTTATCTGTGTGTCCGCTCCACATCAGCCCTGCGTACTGGGCTTCAGTGATGAGTCTCTGTTAAATGACTTGTTCGTGTTGTTTCCGAGTGTTAAACCTGTTTTGTATTTCACTGAAATCGGCATTTTCTTCGTACTCAGTCAAGATTTCGTCGTGATTTGAACCGCTTTCCTTCCTTTGTGTTGGGTGTGAAGATTTAAGCCAAGTTCACGACGAGGTTTATTGTTGGATGGCCAGCAGGCTGGACCTCGGCTTGGGTATTGTTCGCACTCTCGCCTCTTGTCTTCCAAGTGGCTGATTAGCAAAGGCTGGTCAGTTCCTGGGTGTGATTTTGAAAAGTGGCTGAAATGGTCAGTTGCTGCTGGCTTTGTTGTCATGGTCGCCCAAGTTGACGTACAGTTGGTCAAGCGTTGGTCAGTGCAGCCCCCACTAGTGATTTAGATGTATGTGCACTGTGTTCAAAAGTTTGGAGACCCTGACTTACCCAGTGTTTCTTCTGAAATCGGGGCTATTGCTAGAGAGTTTTTCTGCAGTAACAGCCTAGATCTGGGCGATATGGCAAAAATGTATATATCACGATACTTAACGAATTTTTCCTAATATACAAAATGTATAGCAGATAAATGGGTCAAATTTTCCTGCTGTATAATGAATCATGCAGCTGAAGATGTACACAATATGTTAAGATAAGCATATTATATTGTGTTGTGACATAATTTATCACGATAGTGATATATATTGTCATATTGCCCAGCCCTAGTTTTCACGAGACAATATATATCTTGGGACTAATTTTAGTTGGCTGGTGTTCTATAAGTACTGATAATATGCACAGTATGTTAAGAAAAGCATATTGTGTTGTATTGTGACATAATTGATCATAATAATGATATTTATTGTCATGTTGCCCAGCCCTACTTTACACGATACATGATATGGCGCAATATATATCTTGTCTGGCATTTGATAAGTTGTAAATCCACATTCAAAAGTACTATCAAAATCTAAATGATTGTATTCAACATTTCAAATACTCTGCTGCTCAAAATCCAGTTAAACAGGACTAATTATGCTCTTTTAGTTGTGAACTGTACAGCTGGAAGATGTTTTTAAGTACTGACAATATCCGCAAAATGCTCCATGATATGGAGCAGAGCACAAGTTTCTTCAAAAAAGCTTATTGTGACAATTTATTATGATAACATTAAGGTCTTTAACAGCCTGTACTCTTCTGGGAAGGCTTTACAGTAGTTTTTGGAACATTGCTGTTAGGATTTGATTGCATTCAGCCGCAGGAGCATTAGTGAGCTCAGATACTGATTAGTTCTGGATCATAAACTCCACTCCAGCTTGTTCCCAATGGTATTATATAGAGCTCCATCCAGTTCAGCTGTTCCACAGCTCAAAGCTGGAGGACTTTATACCCCTCTAGCCGACACTTGGCATTGGACATGGTGATCTTAGGTTCATGTGCAGCTGCTCCACAATGTCTCATTCTTTAGGCAGTGCTTTTCTCATGAGATTGTACAAGCTGGGTGAACACTTGTGTCACTCTTGCACATATTGTGTACATGTATATCTTGCTAAATGATGTCCAGGGTCATACCCCTTGAATTTGAGATTCTCGAAATAAGGAAGAAAAATGATCAACGGCAGACAAGCCAACAAGTCTTGTTAAATTTTGACCCCCACTTTTCTCAGAGGTGCTAAATGCACTTGGCAGCACTTTGTTAATGTGACCACCACTTTACACTCTGACGCGCAATGAAGTTTGTCTAGGTGAGTGAATGGAGCATCAAGAAGGTGAATTTAAGACACTTTCATATGCAGTGTGCCAGTATAACACAGCACTGTGATGGCACTACAACAGTGTGAATGAAAGTGCCTCATTTGCTTATCTAGTGCAGTCTACACTGTTCAGGGACACTTAATCTGATTTGATTTTCTCAAAAGCCTTCGGTGATTCTCGATTATGAAGAAAGTAATGTCCCCATGACAGCTTGTTAAGCGCCGGAGCAGAGCGCAAGTTTCTGCTTTGCGTTTCTGTCCTAATTGTATGTGTGCAAGGTTTGCCTGCCACACGATCAGCCCGTGCTCTGAGGAATCCATTGACGGTCTCTTGCTTAAGACGTCAAGTTCAGGTCGTTTGTCATCATTGAGGGTTCTTGATGTCACTGGACATAATGGTTCGGTCTCCGTAAAGCTTTTTACCCATTGTTTCTGTCATTGCTAGTAATTGTAATTGTTGATTGGCCTGGTGAGTGTCAGAAAAGTATGGATGGGGCATCTGTTGCACAAGTTAAAGATGTAAGGAAGGAAGATGTGACTTAAGACATTGCATGTTGTGAAAATGTTGCTTAAGATGTATTCATTACATTCCCTTAATTTACCATATGTTTTCTGAGCTTCCTTGGAGAAATCTAAAGAAATATTTTCAAACTGATCAAACCATGTAGCTTTGTAAGTTTTTTTCATGTAATTTATTAAAATAAATTTAGTCTTTTGCTCACAAGGGGCTACTGAATTTTATTTCATTTTTTTAACAAAACAGAAAAAAATCCACATTTGATTGTGTAATTTTTGTTTTTAATTTATAAAAAAATGGGAATATACAAAATATAAAGAAAGTTTAGACAGTTTTTCAGCATTTAAGAACTTTCACAAGTTCATCACACTCCATTTAGTTGTTCAGTATGGTTCAAGTGGTGACCTATGAAACATTACTAGAAAGTTTAATTAGCCTTGTCTATGTGTGTTTGAGATGAAGCCCAGAGTGTATGTAGTGTTCTTAATTAAGAATACATTAAGAGCTGCTCAGCTAGATCGTTACAGTGCTCCTAAAGAGGAGCAGTCGAGTGTGTGTTCTACTCTTGAAATGCCTCTGGACTATCTATGATCAGGCAAAGCAGAGCTTTGCTTCCAGCGTATACTGATAAACAGACTAACTGCCCTAACAGAAAAATGTGGAATTCAAGATATGAGCAGAGCTTCGGTCTTCTCTCTGCCCTCCTCGCCATTGCATTTTTTTTAAATATGCTTCTTCCATAGACTGACCGATCGATCTTATATGGCATAGTCTGTTGAGGTGTCACTGTGGTCAAATTGTTACTATTATCATGTGATTACTTTGATTATTCTTTGTTTTATTTACTTCCAAAACTCAGTATTATGTCTAATTTTTAGCCTTGTGTAAGGATATGCATGCAGGCAGATGCCAGTGTCTAATTTATTTACTGTAAATATGGATCTCTTGATGCATAGATATGTGTAAAAGACATTTTAAAAATGTTTATTTCTATAAGGTTACAAGTGCAAAAAAAATGAATAAAATCCAGACATTTTAGCACTACAGTCCAGTATTGCCCAAACGTTCTCCTTATCCTGATTACAATAAACCAGTCAACAAATTTGGGTTTTAGTATTTGCGTTAACCAATACTAAGGTCATTGTGCATCTCTACACTGCAGCCTGAACCATCGTCTTCAAGTTCTGTCCTTTGCCCAGAAGGTCACCTTCAAAGGGGATCTCTTCTTTTGTGGCATTGGTGTTGCACTTGTTACATTCATGTGGTTTAGGTGGTGTATCGCATGCTGTTTTGTCACAGAACGTCCTCTAGAGGGGATACGTCATACTGAAAAGCTTCAGTAAATGTTTTCGTTTCACGTGTAATCAGACTCGAGTGTCTAGAAGACGCCTGATGACAATACTAACGTGCCAGCTTTGTTGGGCTTCACAATCCCATGCGTGTTTGTTTTTAGCCCTTGGGTGCCTCTTAAACGGCTGGGCTGAAAAAGCAGGTGGCCAAGCTCGCTAAATAGCACGCAAATCCGGTTGTAAGCGGATCCTGTGCCTTTGTCGCGGGAAGAATCCTAGCCTGGACGGTGATTGACTGATCAAGTCTCAATCAGTGATCAAATGATAATGTAGATGTCTTCAGTTGGAGTTTGAAGGAACCTTGTTAAGAACATTTGAATGCTAAGAACATGATTAGTGATGGACAGAACATGGGACTTCTAATCCAGTGAAGCCGAGAGGTCTTTTCTCTTCAGTGCCAGTTGAGGGTCTTATTATATTTGAGCGTTCATTTGTCTTTTTTTGCTTGTTTAGCAAAGATTGTTCGCCCTTTTTTAAAACGATGAAAAGGTCAAGGCCAGTTCAGTGCAATCAGAAGTCCGAACTGGGTAATATGAGG